CCTCACCCTGTCTCAGAGAGCAAGCCCAGCCACCCTGCAAAGAAACCTCATTTCTGCCACTTGTATCTGCAATCTCATTCTTTTGGTCATTACCCAAAGTTCAGGACCATAAGCGAGGATGGGGACATAGGGCAACCTGTAAACAGAGAGCTTCAACCGAGAACTCAGCTCCTGCTTCACCACCAAGTATAGGTACAGCATCTGCATCACTGTCATCAGTGCACCAATCCTCCGGTCAATCTCCCGCTCCCGCTTACTATCACTCGTGAACAAGACCCCTAGATACTTGAACTCTTCCACTAAATGCAGCTGTTCCCCATTTACCTGGAGAGAGCAGTCCAGTTCCTTCCAGAAAAGGACCAGGACCTCCGATTTGGAGGTGCTGATTCTCATCCCAGACACTTCAAACTTGGCAGCGAAACATTGAGTGTTTGTCGGAGATCACATCTGGTCCTAAACTGTTCAAATTTATTTTTATCTTGCTGATGGATGAATGCTGAGAGGCTGGTAGTTGCTAGGGTCTTTTCAATCCATTATCTTTATAGGATTTGGGGTCAATTTTCCATAAACTGGTTACATAATGTCATGTCAAGACTTTTTCACATGGACATGACCTTGTCAAGTTCAAGTAAGAGTGGCCTCTGTTCTGTATTTTCTATTTTATTTATCTATTTATTTATTGGAGGGTGGGTGCCACGGACCTAGTCTCTGTGGTATGCAAAGCAATGATTTTTTTTTTTTTAAATGGTGGCTTAAGCAGGACTTTCCCAAAATCAAAGCTCACTAACAATGACCTAATTTAAACAATAACTGGCCAACTTGTGTGGCTCCAGACTTGATTTGCTCAGAGGCTTTCAAGGGCGGCACTGCAGTAAGCAAAGATTAAAAACTATAAGACATTAATAGAAGGCCAAGAAGCCTTGTTTTTTTGGGTCAGCAAAACACCTGAGGGATGACTGACATTCCTGAAATCCTAAAGTCAACCACCTTAGAGAAAGGAAGCCAATTCACCTACACGAAGGCTACACCAGCCTTTGACCCATCTCCCTGCACATGAAGGATGCCACTAAGTGTTGTGCCATTAGCTGCTGGACTGCAATTACAGCTCCTGTTCTGTGACAATCCAGAAGGCCATGAAAACTGAAGTATTTGCAATCTCCTTGTTATTTTACGTATCTTATTTTTCCTTTTTCTAATATTGTCCTTTGCTTCTATTAGCGGGGAGGCAGTCCAGCCTTTTTATTCTCTCACTTTAGGGTGTGGAATTGTGGCTGTGTGAATGCATGTGTGTATGAGCACCCATCAAGTTCATAAAGGGAAGGCACCAAAAAAGGTTCCCCAGTTTAAACAGCCCTAACCAAAGTCTCAAAGATATTCATTAAAGTGTGTTCCATATTCTGTGTTTAAAAGTCCTAAGGAACTTTATAATAAGGCAGACTGGCCTCCCACTGATCTGGAGAGGGAGGAGTCACTCTGTAATCCCTGGTGGATGGAGCCAGATCAGGCTCCCCTGAAGCCAAGGGGCAGGACAGGAAGAATAAAAGGCAGAGCCACCAACCCAGTTGAGTCTGAGTCAGGGAACGGAGCAGGGCCCTGGAGCTGAACCCTGAGATTGACCCAGGTGAAGAGCTGCCATGTCTGCTGCTTGCTGCATATCCTGAGAAGACAGAGGATGCCTGTGGAATGCAGGTACCCAGCAAGAGGATCATAAGAAGTGGCCCAGGGAAACTAGACTTTAGTCCGGTTGGGTTGTTGCTTGATTCTACGTCAGCATGTTTCTGTTGGATCCACGCTGATCCAGCGGCGGAACACTCCGTCAGTGTTAGGTCCCTGGGCTAAAACGTGGTGAAGTAGGGTGGGCCTGGGTTCCCCTACTCCCTGCTACCAACCCCACTCCTGGGGTGGCTGCCTCCCCACCTTAGGCCAAGAGGCCTGTGTCTGCCTGCCATCTGCCAGAGCTGGGTTGTCAGACCGTTTGTTTGCTCCACCCTGCCGAAGGGCCTGAGCTATAAAACTGTTCCTTTGCTCTGCTCCGCCTAAGGGCCTGAGCCTTAAGACTGCTTGGTTGCTCTGCCCTGCCTAGGGCCCAAGCTCCTAGACTGTTTGTTGGCTCTGCCCTGCCTGAGGGCCTGAGCCTAAAGACTGTTTGCTGGCCCTGCCCTGCCTAAAAGCCGAAGCTCTAATCCTTGCTTGGGGTGGTGCCCCAGAGATGTAGTGAGGCAGAGTGGCCTTCCCCTGAGCTGGAGTGGGAGGAACAGCTGCTAACCCTCTGCAAACTTAAACAGTCATACATAAAATTTGGTACATAAGATTTCTCAAACTTCTGCTTATCAAAGAGTTTTGTTAGAATCTGTTCTATGCAATCCGGGGAGAGGAGATTGGGGAAGGGTTAACCACCACACTGAAACTGAAATCTAAAAAAGAAGCTTTATAATTGGCTCTGAGGTTGTGGTTTTAGTATTAGATAATAATTTGTCTTCAGTATAAAAATATTTAACCAGATCCAAGTTAAACTTGACTAACTTGGGTGATTTTTTTTTAGTTGGGATTTCTCACCAAAGAGAGAGCCTCCTTCTGAGATCCCTCTTATAAGGATTGATTATTTGCTATATTAATCTGATGATCTGACTAATTTGATTATTTGATTCCATTCCAATACAGAGACTAACTTGTTGACTTGACTTGATGTAATAGTTGTACTGTTTTATACTTAGTTTAGTTTAGTATTACTAACAGTAGTTTAGCTTTGGTGATAGGTTTTCTTGATTTTGTTTTTGTTTGTTTAAAAAATTTAATCCAAGTTATAAAACTGATACTGATTCATTTCTTTCAGTAAGCAATGTAGGTTCATAATGTTAGCATTTGTAAAATGTAACTTATTTATAGTGAACATATAGGATTGTGATACAAGTGCCTTCAAAACTGGCAAACATAAGCAGCAACAGATAAAAAAAAAGCTCAAGTTGTGAAGTAGATTCTGCACAATGTCACACAAATAAATTTGGTTAGTTAAGTGCACCTCTAAAAACTCACAAAAATTATTCTTTTTATATGCCCATAGGACCTGTTCTTTCTTCGCACTGCATTTAACTATGCTGTATACATAAAAAAAATGTAGCTGGTCAAACTGGAATCTGGCTTTGGACAGCAGAAACATAGCAGGTCTTATGTCTACAGAGGTAGTGAATTTCAGACTATTATTCTCAAAGGGTCAATAAATCCTTGCGGCAAGTCATGCAGCACAGAAATAGAAAAGTTTATAAAATTGTGCCTGAGATAAATGGTGTATTATGGAAGGACTTCTGAGGAGTTAATCTAGATTTACACCAACGAGATCAGAATCTAGTCCACTGAATTAGTCTAG